CACGGTTGACGAGATACCCTTCAGGATGAATGCCTCGGAAGGCGTGCAGTGAGGTCATTGGAATCAGGAAGTGGAGCTGTAGCAGATTTTAGCTTGACAAAATGTCGATCTCAATTCAACCAGAAGTTTTTGCTTTAACAGACATCACAATCTGAACTACGGCTTGTCAGTAGGATCTAACATCGGGGCTTAAGCAAATCGCTCTAAAGCTCATAAATCGCTTCGCATTTTACGAAAGGGGCTGCAATGAGATTAACTGTCTAGTTATTTCCAGCTTTGCAGATTTCCAAAGATCTCTGCAACTTCAAAAAAGCATTAGCAAACAAGGAAGTGATTTGTTTCGCTAGCTCTGTCAATTTGTAGATTATGTCATTGAGGAAGAGCGATGCAGTGTGTCATGAGGCTCATTGCGGATTCAAATTTTCAGTTTCACCCGCCATTTAGTGAATCCACCAATTACACCCGAGGACTGCAAATTAGTACAAGAATAACCCAAGCGGGTTGATCCGCCATTGTATAAATTCGCATGCGATACCTTGTCTGTGACTGATGTTAAAAATGCCCCCTAATCCCTAATGTTTCAAATATCGCTCTTAAGCAATGAGATGAACCTCTCCAAAAATGTGCGACAAGCTTGGTCTTCTTCTTTATTTGTTTGTCGCCTTTGCCAAAATGTCAACGGCTTCAATCAGAAAAGGTCATATCCAATTTCGCCTTGAATTTCAGCGTAATCCAAAATACAAACACATCAAATGGGTGCTGTCGTCTGAAAATTGTCGAAGAAAATATTCAGCTAGATTAGATACACCCTCGCCCATCGCAAACAAGTAGCAGTTTGCTGAATGCTCTTACGTATTTGCGCATTCGTGAAAGCCGAATCTATGAGGAGAAATTTGAAAAAGACAACTCTGTGATCAAAAATCTGTAAAGAGTAAACTGTATTCGACGTTTTGGCTTGTTCATCACTATTACCTTGTATTCTTTGCTGCTTACTATTGGTCTTTGAAGATGAATAGATGTTATCAAGATTAGGGAGCGAGAAACGTTATTACGTAATTTGCGTGATAGTAGACTGAAGCACATCTAAGCAACATTGCAAAGATCTTGAGTAAGATAAACGATCTAAGTATTGGATTGTTTTAACAGTTCTACCCGTTTTTAACCCTCGGGTATGAATCACCATAACTCTTTTCAGAATTGATTTTTGCGATTGCAGTAAATTGTGATTGTAAATTGTGAAAATTGTAAATTTCTAATCTACGAACCTTTGGCTATGTTACGCACATTATGCTCCATAAAGTTACAACGGAAAAGATTTTATAAACGAAAAATGATGCTTCGATTTGCGAAACCATAACTTGTTGTGGAATAGTAAAATTGCACAAGCACTGCTCATTGTGTAGTCAATATCTGGCTGAGTAGAAATGCTAGCTTTGAATTTTACCAAGTTATTTCACAAAAAATTTTTTACAGAATAATCCGAAATGATCCACTAAATTTGCTCTTTTTGAGGTGGCAAAAATCGCACATTTTTGACATTTTTGTTTCTGTTCGCCCTGCATTTCAAAAAATCTTTTCGTTATTCTAGTAACGATTGTTCCAGGTCTAATCTTACTATGTAGAACAAAAGTTCACAATTGAATTGTTTTTACATTTTTTATGCGACTTAAACGGACCACAACGGCAGGTCATGTTCACGCTAAGATTTTATAGGTTCAAAATTTTTCTAAAATCGTATCTCAATAACCATTTCGTAGCTCATTCCCCAACAAAGATAAATGTTTCAAAAGCAATTTTCTTTCCTGGCTGTAGATTTCCCGCCGGCAGAGTAAGCATTCACATGTGATTTGCTGTTCTTCCAAGATATGGAAATACAGAGTGATCAACATCTTGTAGGAAATGAAAAGATGCATAAGAAATTAGAAGAAAAGAGCTTTTGAACGGTATAAGCAGTGTTCGCAAAAAATGGTTTCTTCCACCAGAAACGGCAGTTCAAAAAGAGGAACAAAAAACGCGTAGAACTTTTGAAATATCCCAATATAATCGCGGCACCTCATTTTGTCGAAAGTTTGCGAGTAATGCGATACGTTCTTCCCAAGATTTCTAAGTTCAAATATACTAGCCTCAACTGATTTCTTTGCGGGACCCGTTCATCGCACGAATCTATGGGTCGCACTAATTTTATACACAATCGTCCGCGCTGTGCGGGAAATGTTTTTTGTCCTAAAGCTACTCGACTTCACTTATATATTTGCTTCTATAATGCAACTATTATGTGGGAAGTTGATGTTACCTGATGCATGCGTTGAGGACACGACTGAGAGGAACAGCATGATTGGATACAAAACTCGTAACGAAGAGACAGGCCCGTCTGCTGTAGATGGCGATAAACCGCTAGAAGGGCTAGTTGTTGGCAAAACGGTACTCGTAACTATGGCGTTCATACGATTCTGAAAGTTGAACTGCATCACCAAAGAATGAAACAGGTAACATCGGTATAATATCTCGAACTGCACGACATCACTGAAACGTCTCAAGTTCGCAGGTGAGGGTTGAGGAGACTGCAGCCATTCTCCGTGAGCATCCAAGAAGTACTGCGATACACCTTCCTTATACAATGCTTACCCGGAACACTAGAAGTAGGCGGGGCAAAAGGCGGGCGGAGGCGGTGCACTCGTGCAGCTACAGTCAATCGCCCTTTTCGTTGGATATTCCGAGTGGATAATGAGACTCGTGAAATGATAAAAATAATTTTATTATGACCGATATGCCAAGCTTAGTTTGGTTTACCGCAGCTCTTTGACGTCAACGAGTAGGATTTTCTTGGCTCGACTTCCTCTCGCACCAACTACGTATGCTTCACAGATCTTAGAACGATATGTGTACGAAGTTTTTGCTCTATCCCATTTTTGAAGCAACTTGTTGACGAAGAGACGGCTATAATGTTCCTCGATGGGCACTTTTAACGAACTTAGCTTTGATAGTGTCGATTATTCGACACTATCATTATGTCGATTACGTATT